GAAAACTAATGTCTGTCATGCTTGAAAAAATGGTTGCTATGAAATAATAAAAGTTTAAAATGTCTTGCGCATGTACAGTTTACTTTTTCCTTTAATCTATCCTGCTGAGTTTTGCTACAGTGAAACATGGGGAAAGCACAAGATTTTGCATTTTTATGCTAGGGGCTCTGGTGAACACTAAACCTCCCTCCCATATGGTTTCTGCAGTACTAGTACCCTTGCCATATTCAATCACAGATCCTGTTATGTTGTCAAAAATACACAACTTTGAGATTTGCAGACAATTCGAGACAAAATTTACTGGCAAAGTGCTCTGTGTGCTGTACCTTATACCAACAAATGTTGGGGGGGGGGGGAAAAAGCCATCTGGTAGGCCACTTCTTTTACAACACATATTGGTGGATCCTAAAAGAAAGGACTTAATCTTGCTAAATAACATATTTTTCTCTGAATTACATGTCCACCAATCTGGATTTAAGAATTTTTTTAAAGAGAGCTAATACGCTATTACAGGTTATTAGTATTAAGTATTTGAAGTTCAGCATCTGTTTGTTCTAATATATTTTTGTATTGCCATCTAAGAAATTTCAGGAAGAGCTTGTGAGGGGGTGGCCATTTAACAAGTCAGCCTTGTAACTGACATTTGTTTCACTAGTAGAGAACATGTCCATTTCTGTGCCTGATTGGTAGACATAAGATTAAAATTAGATTCCATTTGCTTTAAGAAATTTCCTTAAATACTTGTTCATTCAAATTTTGATCTGATAGCCATATGTGACTGTTAGCAACTGCCAAAAGTTACATCCAAAATGAATAGTTCATATCTCTCCTAATTTATAGAGGAATCGTGTAAATTAAATCCACAGAAAGAATTTTATTAGGCAAAAAAGTTGTTTCTTCCAATTTTCAAAAACTTTGGAATCCATTCCAATACCTTTAACCAACTCTCACTGACATGGAAAAGGTTTAACTTGTAATGGATTGCCTCCTTGTCTACAAGACAGCCACAAATCAAGCTCACAGAAGCCCAGATGGAATTGCAAACAACTAGGGTTCATCCCTTCACCTAGCATCTTGGAGTAATTGAGGTGAGGAAAGGCAAAATGCTGAACTTTGAGCCAGTGGGAGTGTTGCCATTTATTTTAATGGGAGAGAGATCTTATCCTTAAAGCTTCCATGGAGAGAAAACAGACGTGCAAAGTCCCTGGCCTTCCTTTCCCCACTTAACATTGCAGTGTTTCTTGTGAACTTTTTGTTGTTCCTTTAAACACAGATTAACAGCATTCATACTGCTCATGCACTGCACACTTCCTCCTGCTTTAAGGCTATTCTGAAACAGTTGCTAGCTGTACTAGACAGTCGGGTGTAGATGTTGGAGTATGGCATTTGGCATTTTCATTCCCTCCACCATCACCACCACACCCCCACTTTGTGCAAGTACTGCTCAGAGTTAAGTATATAAAACAGGGATCGGCAACCTTTGGCATGCAGCCCACCAGGGTAAGCACCCTGGTGGGCCGAGCCGGTTTGTTTACCTGCTGCATCCACAGGTTCGGCCGATCGCGACTCCCACTGGCCACGGTTTGCTGTCCCAGGCCAATGGGGGCTGCAGGAAACGGCGTGGGCCGAGGGATGTGCTGGCCACCGCTTTCCGCTGCCCCCACTGGCCTGGAACGGTGAACCACGGCCAGTGGGAGCTGCGATCGGCCGAACCTGTGGATGCAGCAGGTAAACAAACCGGCCCGGCGCACCAGGGTGCTTACCCTGGCGAGCCGCGTGCCAAAGGTTGCCGATCCCTGATATAAAATGTTATCAGCCCTAGTTAATTTCTTCATTTCAGTTAGCTCATGGGTCAAACTTAGAAAACAGACAGAAAGCTGAACTATGAATATAAGAACACAAAATCAAATAGAACAGAAGTCTATATAGCACACCTTCTTGTTAGATACAGCGCACTCAAAGCCACGGGATGAGTATCACTCAGTTTTAACCCCAACACAAATCACAAACAGAAGAAAAAAAAATAACCCTTGAATATCCTGTTAACATCTTCCATTTTATATCTTTTGAAGCAAAAGCCCAATCTTACTCCTTAGATGTAAGAAATATATAAAGTGCTTCCCTGAAATTATGGATATGCTATCTCATTTGGTCATTAATCTTGCTGATCAGTTTACTGTTGCTTTTTCAATACAGCAGCTGCTCAGAAAAAACCACAATGCTTTAGCTCCTGCTTTGTGCACACTTCCTCCAAGTTATTTACTTTCTTTTGCTGAAAATAGGAGGCTTGCACAGAGTAACTAACACTAGCTTTATGAATCATAGCACATAGTGACAGAAAAAAATATATACAGTAGAGCTGGAACCCTTAAAAGATATGTTTTCCAAAGTGTTCAGACATCTAATAAAGCAAAGCATCATTATGGAGATGCAATAACCTCTCTGTAGGTAAGATGGCACCCAACTTCCATCATAAAGCCATATTTTAAAATCAGTGTTATATATTTTTTCCTAATAATGTTCAGGCAGGAAGTTGTTCTGAACGCATTAGAATTATAAATTACAAAATATTAGTGAAGTAAGTTAATATATTAACTTTATTCCCCACTAAACAGTATCTTTTAAGAAAATATTGATAGCAAAATCAAGGTAATAAGATATATGAACAAAGCATGGCCCTCTTTCTCTATCTCCACCTCCCCAGGGCCGGCTCCAGGCACCAGCTTAACAAGCAGGTGCTTGGGGCGGACAAGGGAGATGGGCGGCACCTGCGGCAATTCAGGGGCGGCAGGTCCCTCGCTCCCTCTAGGTGCGAAGGACCTGCCGCTGAACTGCCGCTGCCAAACGCGGCTTTTTTTTCCCCCCCCCAATTGCCGCCACCAATCGCAGCTTTTTTTTTTTTTTTTGGCTTGGGGCGGCAGAAATGCTGGAGCCAACCCTGCACCTCCCTTTCCAAAAAGCCTACAAGTCAGAATTTAAGAAACCATGGGATGAATTAAGGATTTATTTGTACCTTGAAAGCATAAATGTTTAAATTAATAACATGGGTAATGGAAGATTTAGTGCTCTAAGTTTAATTCTGGGGGGCTTTTTATAGAGAGCTTAAATTCTATAAACTACATGAGGGTTAAAATTAATTGCCATTTAGCAACCTTGACTTTTTAAAAAAATGTTAAGTTCTTTTTCAATTCTAACAGAGCTGAGTATCAATTATTTGTGTATACTTATTATATCACTCAAAATATACTCCACAACTCTACAGGAGTCTTATAGTCAGATGAGTGGGTTTTAAGGAGCACTGAATACTTGGTGCAATAGAGGAAAACTAGTACAATAGGGCAGCAGAGTTATTTAGTATAGAAGAGCTAACGGTTAAACAGGACCCCCCACTGCTACAAAAGCATGCCCCTCTCTTTCTCTCCTCTGCTCTATGAGTTTGTAAGTTCAACCGCCAATACCTAGTTACTTTGTTCTGTGGCTGGGGATTTTCCATTCGCCAAACCCGAGCCCAAACGGAGAAGCTGATGACAACTGGTTTCCCCCTAGACTTCAGCTATCCCATTGCTCTGTCTGGGCTAAGGTTGACCCTTTCAAAAGACAGACTTGTAGACTGCCCTTCCTTGTGTCACCACCCCTGGGACTTGCAATCCAACACAGAGCTAAAAAGACAGGGACCACAACTAGCCCCACATTCAGAATGGAATTTGCAGCCCAAACTGAGTCCCCAATATCAAACAGAATTTGTAAGTTAAATACAGACAGATTCCCTAAACCAACACACCATGTCATCACCTTTTTAGCTTGCCTTTCACTACCACATCAAATGTAATCTTCATCCTCATCTTCAAGACCTTTAACTCCACCCTCCCTACATATCCAGCTGTTTATTATGGTTGTCCCCACCCACCACATATGTCAGCTTTCTTGTACATTTGCCTACTCTTCCCAGAATCATTTCTGTGCTATTTTTCGCACTTTCATATACACCTCTACCCCGATATAACGCGACCCGATATAACACGAATTCGGATATAACGTGGTAAAGCAGAGCTCCGGGGGGGCGGGGCTGCGCGCTCTGGTGGATCAAAGCAAGTTCGATATAACGCGGTTTCACCTATAACGTGGTAAGATTTTTTGGCTCCCGAGGACAGCGTTATATCAGGGTAGAGGTGTACATGGAATGCCCTCCCAATTCTGGGCTTTCTAGTTTCTTGCTGGCTTCATCACTGACCCTAACTCATTCAAATCCCTTCTTTTTTCCATGATGCTCATAAGCAAAAAGAGTCAATTTTAAGTAATATTAGATAAACTTAGTGGAGCCATGAAGGTGTGCACATACTTAAACTAGAAAACCACATGATATAGTTGTATAAGGCAGACATCACAGTCCTCATCACTAAATTAGTGTAACCTTTGTTCTTCCTCTATCTCCTTTAGTCATCATATCCAAAATTAAGTTTTAGTTGCTTCAGTGCAAGAACGTAGTCTTTTATTTGTACCACACAATACCTAACATTCTTATGGGCACTGTAATAAATAAACCTAAAGCAAAAAAACAACTATTTATTAAGGCAGGTGTACTTAAAGCTTTTACCAGTTAGAGAACACTGATAAAACCGGTAATACTTCTCAATTCCATATACAGAGAATGTCAGAAATAATTAGACTCTTAAAACAAAAGAAGCATTTGAAATTTAGCCACTATATGCTAAAAAAGTCTGCCAATGTTTAAAGAAATATAGTACATGAATAACAATGGTTTAGAAAAACTCCCATTCACTAAACAAGATGGAAAATTACATACTGTTCAGATTATGGCCTAAACTAACATTACACGATTTTTATCTCCAAGTTCCTATTTCTTCATATAAACTAAAATATACAGCAATCTTGAGAATGTTGTGGTGTGACTTGTTAGTATTTTCATTTTGCATGTGTTGTATACACCACATTAATAAAGTATCTTTGATAAAAACAGGTTTAAGTCTTAAGTTATTTACCTGGGTCTAGGTTCCCAGTCATCATCGAAGTGTGAACGCAACTTCAACGTTTCTTCCTTGATGGGTTGATATGTCCTGTAATAAGACAAATACATGTCTCAAAAGTGGAATATAAGTTCTTTTTACCAAGTACTCCATGCCTTCTCAATGACATTTTGTTCACAGGGGAAAGGCCAATCCAACCAAAACTACACTTGTTTCCACTCTTCAGAAGTCAGTGTATTATCTCTGGAATTCCTAGTACACATGAAAAACCGTATGCCTACTCCCATGAGTACTATAGCTCAGGAGAATATCTTGAGCTCACTAACAGGAAAAAAAATATAAAGCCAGATGAAATCCAGTTAACAACTGCCATTCTCATTTTCAAGTTCAGTTTGATCTGGCTTGGTTAACAGAGATAGACGTTACTTTAATGTAATGCCAGATGGATACGAAGTATTGCATTCTTGTTCTCAAAGGCAGCATCCTTTTCATGGTGAAAAGCCACAGCGATGTGCATATTAATCTGAATAGTCCCAAGCAGTTGTTCCCCAAACTTTTGAAAGCTGAATCAGGGAAATGAAACCAATAGCACCCATCTTCATCCTTGCCACGACATTGAAAGTCTACTTATTTTAATTCTTAATCTTTTGCAGTCTCCCACATGCAGTAAACACTGGCACGGAGTAACAAAATGATTTGGGTGGTCAATTAATCGCAGTTAACTCACACGATTAACTCAAAAAAATTAATCACGATTCATCTCAGTTTTAATTGCACTGTTAAACAATAGAATACCAACTGAAATTTATTAAATATTTTGGATGTTTTTCTACATTTTCAAATATATTTATTTCAATTACAACACAGAATACAAAGTGTACAGTGCTCACTTTGCATTATTTTTATTACAAATATTTGCACTATAAAAATGATAAACAAAATAAATAGTATTTTTCAATTCACTTCATACTAGTACCGTAGTGCAATCTCTTAATCGTGAAAACGCAACTTACAAATGTAGATTTTCTTTTGTTACATGACTGCACTCAAAAACAAAACAATGTAAAAATTTAGAGTCTACAAGTCCACTCAGTCCTACTTCTTGTTCAGCCACTAGGTAAGACAAACAAGTTTGTTTGCATTTATGCGAGATAATGCTGCCCACTTCTTATTTACATCACCTGAAAGTGAGAACAGACATTTGCATGGCACATTTGTAGCCAGCATTGCAAGGTATTTACATGCCAGATATGCTAAACATTCATATGCCCCTTCATGCTTTATCCAAAGGACATGCTTCCATGCTGATGACGGTCGTTAAAAAAAGTGTTAATTAAATTTGTGACTGAGAATTGTATGTCTTCTGCTCTCTGTTTTATGCACATTCTGCCATAAATTTCATGTTATAGCAGTCTCAGATGATGACCCAGCACATGTTCGTTTTAAGAACACTTTCACAGCAAATTTGACAAAACGCAAAGAAGGTACCAAATGTGAGATTTCTAAAAAGATAGCTACAGCACTCGACCCAAAATTTAAGAATCTGAAGTGTGTGGTGCATGCGTTCAGAAGTTTTAAAAGAACAACATTCCGATGTGGAAATTACAGAACCCGAATCACCAAAAAATAAAATCAACCTTCTGCTAGTGACATCTGACTCAGATGATGAAAATAAACATGCCTTGGTCTGCACTGCTTTGGATAGTTATGGAGCAGAACCCATCATCAGCATGGACGCATGTCCTCTGGAATGGTGGTTGAAGTATGAAAAGACATATGAATCTTTAGCACATCTGGCACATAAATATCTTGCAACGCCTGTTCTCACTTTCAGGTGACATTGTAAACAAGAAGTGGGCAGCATTATCTCCTGCAAATGTAAACAAACTTGTTTGTCTGAGTGATTGGCTGAACAAGAAGTAGGACTGAGTGGACTTGTAGGTTCTAAAGTTTTACATTGTTTTGTTTTTGAATGCAGTTATTTTTTGTACATAATTCTACATTTGTAAGTTCAACTTTCATGATAAAGAGATTGCACTACCGTACTTGTATTAGGTGAATTGAAAAATACTATTTTATTTTTACATTGCAAATGTTTATAATAAAAATAATTATAAAGAGAGCACTGTACACTTTGTATTCTGTGTTGTAATTGAAATCAATATATTTGAAAATGTGGAAAACATCCAAAAATATTTATATAAATGGTATTCATTATTCTTTAACAGTGCAATTAATCGCACAATTAATTTTTTAATTGTACAATTAATCAAGCTTAATTTTTTTAATGGCTGGAAAGTCCTAAAAATGATCTTGGCAAAGCGATGGCTTATTTCTCTTTTTTTGTTTTATGCCATCATTACAACAAACATTATACACTAGGTCACAATTTAAATTTAAGCATCCAGTTTCTCCATGTTTGAAAAGTATTATGCAACTAGTTTATACTGCAAAAAGACTAATTCTCCACTGCTTTCATCTGAGGATCTCAATAAGTCTTGCAAACAAACATTCAACAAATTCTACAATCCTGTCAAGTAGGCAAGAGTTTATGCCTCAGTTTACCCATCTACCAAATGCTGTTAAGGAAATAAGGCTTACTGAAGTCCATGATTCAGTGACATGGCTAGGAATAAAACCTGAAGGACCTACCATGGCCGTAACCAGTACGGGGCGAGTGGGGCAGCCGCCCAGGGCGCAAAGCCGCAAGGGTGGAAAAATGGGGTAGAAAAACAGTAGGGGGTGCAAACATGCTTGCTTGTCCTGGACGCTAAAATGCTTAGTTACAGCTCTGGGACCTAGTTCAAATTCTCTGTTCTAACCACAAAACCATATACCCTTATCTATCATCTTTTGGTATGCTGAAAAAAATGTTGTACTAGCTCACACACTGGAGTTTGTCACATACCTGTCGTCCAGCACATTACACATAAATTGTTCATCTTCTCCAAATTTATATGACCTATCCAAGCAGCAATATCGGCTGATGCAGTTTCCACAGCAGAACTGTGGGCAGGATTTTTCAGAATACATGCGTCCATCAGAATCTGTGTATGCCCTACAATATTCACCTGAAGCTGAAAATAAGGAAATAACCAACAGTCAGACATAAAAAAAATCAAACACGTTTAGATGTATCTACATTAACTGTCATCTCATCTAGTGTCATATCATAGAATCACAAAAGATTAGGTTTGGAAGAGACCTAAGGAGGTCATCTAGTCCAACCCCCTACTCAAAGCAGGACCAACACCAACTAAATCATCCCAGCCAGGGCTTTGTCAAGCCGGGCCTTAAAAACCTCTAAGGATGGAGATTCCACCACCTCCCTAGGTAACCCATTCCAGTGCTTCACCACCCTCCTAGTGAAATACTGTTTCCTAATATCCAACCTAAACCTCCCCCACTGCAACTTGAGACCATTGCTCCTTGTTCTGTCATCTGCCACCATCTGTCCTCTTTGGAACCCCCCTTGAGGTACTTGAAGGCTGCTATCAAATGCCCCCTCACTCTTCTCTAGACTAAACAAGGCCAGTTTCCTCAGCCTCCCCTCATAAGTCACGTGCCCCAGCCCTCTGATCATTTTCGTTGCCCTCCGTTGGACTCTCTCCAATTTGTCCACATCCTTTCTGTAGTGGGGGGCCCAAAACTGGATGCAATACTCCAGATGTGGCCTCACTAGCGCCGAACAGAGGGGAATAATCGTTTCCCTCGATCTGCTGGCAATACTCCTACTAATGCAGCCATTAGCATTATTGGCAACAAGGGCACACTGCTGACTCATATCCAGCTTCTCCTCTAACATAATCCCCTGGTCATTTCCTGCAGAAGTGCTGCTTAGCCAGTCGGTCCCCAGCCTGTAGCGGTGCATGGGATTCTTCTGTCCTAAATGCAGAACTCTGCACTTGTCCTTGTTGAACCTCATCAGATTTCTTTTGGCCCAAGCCTCCAATTTGTCTAGGTCACTCTGGACCCCAACCCTACCCAGCGTATCTACCTCTCCCCCCAGCTTAGTGTCATCTACAACATCATATCAGAATGTAATAAATACTATTTCAGTTGTTTCTTCTAAATTAATGATTTCCATCAGAGCTAAGGTGAGTTCTTAGCCTTCAGTTTTTCCATTTATAATATGCTGTCTCCAACCAAGATAGGTTAGCTCTCTCCAAGCATTCTCCCAAGCACATAAAGGATAAACCTGCTTGAAAATAAAGTTATAGACATTCCTTGTGGTGTTATTTTCACCATGTGAAAGTTGGCAACTGTGCTTCCTAGCTGTTACGTTGACCACTTTATTACATCCCTTCTCTTCCCTCCCACCCTCACCTGATTTTAAGCTTTTCAGAGCAGGAACTGTCTTATATTTTAAAGAACACCTAGCACAATCTAGATTGTGGGCATTAGTGTGGTCTAAATAATTAGTAATGAAGTTGAGGACATTATCATTGACAGCTTTGTTTAGCTTTGTTATTTCATCACAATGGCTGCTAGCAAATATAGCAATGACTTTCAAGGATCATGGTACCAAATTTATCAGCCAATCAGCGCTCTTCCAAAAATCAGTGTTAAAAGAAAAACTTTTAATAACATTTTTCCAGGTATTTGATTTGATGCACAAGATGCATCAGAGTAACATGTACTAAAGATTCAGATGCCCACATGGATCTGTAACTTTTAAAGAACTGGGGCAAATCCCAATCCTACAGAATTCAATGACAAAAATCTTTCATTGACTTCAATGAATCCAGTGTTTGATCCCCCCAGTTTTCAAGATGATCTGCAAGACTTTTATATTATGTTTTGTTTGATGTTGTTCCTTTTTCTCCCTATCATGTATAAAGAAGGAAAGGTTTATTTTATGTTTTTTCCTGCATGTTAACTTTAGAAATATAATAAAGACATCATCTGGTCTCTCTTTTGGCTAGGGGGTCTCAGAGGTGTGCTGTGAGCTTTCATAGCTTAACTGAAGGTTTGGGGTGATTCAGTTTTAACCAAGTCATCACTTCTCTCCAATTTTTAGCATTGGACTAGGTAGGCAATTTATGTGATCCAACTTAAAGTCAAGTATTTGAGAAGGCAAGGGATTTTAAGTCTGGTCTCTTATGAAGTCAATTTCACAGTTAGATAGAAGAGACCTGCATACCTACTATTTAAAAAAAAAGTTGCACACATTTTACACATTTTTATACATAAAAGGCAGTTCAGTTCATCCTTCTCATTTTAAGGTCATCTTTAATATTTTGGCGCATAAAATTCTGGAGGCTGATAATACTTCACTCCTTGCATCTGAGGATTTCAAGAAGCTTTACAATTTATCAGGTTCCACAGCACACTTTAGAGTTAAGTGAAGACCAGGGCTGCACATTTTGTGGGCAGAGGAGAAAACTCCTTGTTACTGAACTATTTTTGTTGTTTCAAGATTTATTTCTTTTAATAGTCTATAAGGTTTTGACACTTTCATTAGCCATATTTTAAAGCATCCAGTATAACCAAGTCAGGATCTGTTATTTAAAATAAGTGTAGTTAAAAACAAAAAAACCTACGCGAACAATATCACTGAAAGATTGAAACTGTGGCTATCCCATTTCACTCAACTTAATATGGCAATAAATGAGATGGTAGGGACTAACCCCTTATTGGACTTTTATGGTTTTAGGTTTGTCTCCTTTGGATTGGATTTGGGATTTAGAGATTACTTTACCTATGAGACGAGAGTAACCAGACTCATTGTTGCAACACGGAACTGAGAACAATATTTCCTGGTTTCTATTCCATGCTTGACACTTGTGTTTACTCACTGTTTAACCATGTGCACATCACAAATTATGTGCCTCAGTTTACCATCTGCAAACCAAGGGTAATATCATATTGTGAATTAACCAATGACGGTAGAAAGCTTTGCCCTTAAAGCACCTTTTTATCTGAGGATCTCAAATTATTTCATGTGTTATTGTTTCTCTGACAGTCTGTACCTTCTGAATAAGGATGTTGAGTTATTGTATATTAAAATATTCAATTAACATATTTTTATTAAGAGATTAAGAAGTTATTTCGGTTGTATTTTAAACTGATTCTGCTGTAGTTTAAATAATCTCTCCTCTCACTGTTTCCCTCATTGCATGGTTCTCCAATACTAATCTTCATCTGAATATTTTATCCATCTCTAATTCTGAAAAATAACTATGTTCACTGTACCAACACAAAAAATAAAAACACCACCCAGATATGAAGACTCAAATATATTCAAAAGATAACAGGAAATTCTGGTTTATTAATGCCTTCCACAGTGGTTCTGCAAATTGTGCCCATATGATCTCCCTACTGGTATAACAGTTTTCTTATGGAATAAAGAAATATGTTTGTGTAGGAAGCAAAAATCACAAACTGTTCTGCTTCCTCTATATAAAATAAGGAAGTGCAAAGCAATTAAGATGCTTCCAGATATATTACTTCTGTGTTGCACAAAGACAAAAACAAAAGCGTTTATCCAGGCTTACCACAGGCCTGAGCACAGAGGCAAACAAATTGTAGGGTATTAAAATAAAGGCAGAAGAGGCACATTCTAATCTATACTAAGTTAAAATAGACAAGAAACATATTTGCAGGAAGGACTACTATAAAAAAATGTAAATTTATTGTTTAATTTTACTGCAAGGTATAATAAACTACATATGAGCCTCATTTATTTTCAACTCCCTGTTATCCCCAAGGCCCTATTAATTTAATTGACAAATGAGTTTAGATAAACAAAGCTGTCAATGATAATGTCCTCAACTTCATTACTAATTATTTAGACCACACTAATGCCCACAATCTAGATTGTGCTAGGTGTTCTTTAAAATATAAGACAGTTACTACTCTGAAAAGCTTAAAATCAGGTGAGGGTGGGAGGGAAGAGAAGGGATGTAATAAAGTGGTCAACGTAACAGCTAGGAAGCACAGTTGCCAACTTTCACATGGTAAATAAGCACCGCAACTTTCACAATAAGCCAAAAATCAAGCTAATCCCATTTCAAAACAAGGCCACAACAAGCCAATCCCTAAGAACCCCAACACTCTATGTGACTAGATCCCCCCAGAGTGCAGTTTGGGACTGTGGTGGGCCCGTTGTGCACCCCTGACTCTCTCCCCCCCTTGCTCCTGCTTGCTGGGAGCCTATCAAAAAAAAGAAGCAACAAGCTACACACCAAACAAGCTACAAGCCAAAAACTAGCCAACACGCAACTCAGAAGCCAATTAAGCCAAAAACAAGCCCAATTGCTGTGTTTTTTCATGGGTTTGGCATGTCTGCTAGGAAGCCTATTGGTAGTTCTCCTTTTTAGAATTGCATCAACTATCCCCAAATGTTCTTACCTAATAATCAGCTAATTTAGTTGAGTTACTTGATTGGATAAACTCCTTATCAGGGAATTGTCCCATCACCAATTGCTACTGTTCAAGAACAGATTCATGTCAGTATAGGATTCATAATTGTTACCATAACTCCTCCACGACCACCCCAACAGATGTTTTATTATACTGTCAGTAAGTCAATATGGACATAAGTCATAGCTAACTTGATTAATAAACTTCAAAACAGATCTGTGAATATTCCTCTCTCTCCCTCCTCCCTCAAATGAACGGAACTAACTTGCACGGAGTGTGACGACCTTGATGTAAAGGAAAAGCTGAGGCTCCTTTAGCTTTGACTTTTTCCTGAGCTCCAAGCCAGCTAGTCTTCCTAATTAAGCTCCTTTCCTGTAAATACTTTCCACTTATGCCTGATGTCTTAGATCAAAAGTTTTCTTTGCATGAAACAGGTTATTAGAGCTGTATGAAAAATTTAAAACCAATTTTGTAAACCTTGACATCTGTGTTGACTTTTTTGGATGCCCAATCTTCATTACCTTGAAAATGCTCAATTTCCATAAGTGCTGAGCACCCGCTTCTTTAAAGAAAAAGGGTTCCTTTAAAGATTTCTAGGTACTAACAAAAATAATAAAATAAAAATGGGGCCCCATAAATCACTAGTCATGTTTGAAAATCTTAACAAGAAAGTCCAGAGCAGCGTTAGTCACCAGTGTTATTTGTGACTGTGAAGTTCATCCAAATTAATATGATCATGGTAGGACATTAACAGCCTTGTGACTTTTTTAGCTCAGTAGTTTACTCAGAACATGCCACCATTGTAAAAAAATAAAATAAAACCCAAACCAAAAAAACACTGTAACAAGATAGCACAAGGTAAAGCGCATCTTGGTTTATCATGTAAAAACTATTACACCCCAAGATCAATGATATTACTAAAACATTCTCTTGGGAAACCATAGCCTTCTACCTGACAGCTGCTTTTTAGTTTTGAAAAAGAGAGTGGTTTGATGTTCTGAACATTTTTGTTTATTTTTCTAATTCTTGTGGTAAAGGGGCCTCAAGCCATCTTGAGCCAAGTACCCCTGCTCAACAGCAGCTAATATATTTTTTGAAGAGCCCCAGGGCCACTTGCAAATATGCTTCTGGTCTATTTGAGCTTCCTATGTATTCGGACAGACAGGAAACTGGACTGGATGGACAGGAGAGGGTTTTTACATTAGTAGCAGTTTGGGGTGAGGGGTGGAATTGTATCTAATGTTAATGCCTAAATGTTTGGGACCAAACATGCCACAACATGAATTCAGAATGAAAAGATGTAATATTCAATATTGTTAAGAAATCAATCAGGAACACATACAAAAATAAATCTGTTAGTCTTTAAGGTGCCACCGTCCTTCCTTGTTGTTTTTGTGGATACAGACTAACAGGGCTATCCCCTGAAACAGGAACATATATGTTTATTACTATTCCTGATAAGTCATCTAGTCACTCCTTCTCAGCCTATCGGCCAAGGCAAGATTGTTTCCAATGATACTCTCCAAAGCTTCATCTAGTTTTAAATGACTCAGCTATTAGGCTCTTCATTGCTCTCTCCTACGGAATCTATTCCATGATCTAATGGATCTCGCTGTCGAGAAAGTGTTTTCCAGTATCTAGACAAAGTTTATTTAGTCCCTCCTGCTGAGTAAATACTGAGTATTTACTATTCTCCCCCGTTGCCTCCCCCAATTCCCCTTTACAGCGGTGCCAGTAGCTGGAGCCTTGCCGTCACTGCCTCTCCTATACTTATGGGAGACTGAAGAGTGGATCCCTGACGGGGACATTTGAAGAGAACGAAACCAAGCCCCCAGCAGCACTGAAATTAGCTCCCCCACGCCCAGCCCCAGCGAGGCGCTAGGGAGGGCTCCCTCGCCGGGATGGTGACGTTTAAAAGGGGGATTCCCAACAAGATGCCTGAGGGGGGAGACGACAATGCCCCATTTGAGGGGGGCTTCTGGTCTCCCTCTCCCCCCCCAACTCCCGTGGCGTCTGTCCTGGAGACTGTCGACACCCACCCTCGGCCCCTGCCAAGCGCCTCGGGAAGCAGCACCTCCGCGCCCCAGTTCACCAGGAGCAGCCCTCACTGGGCCGCCCCAAGCGCTGGTGTGCGGGCTCTGCCCAGCCCAGCCGCCCCCCGCTCGGCACTCACCGCCGGCCAGTAGGAGCAGGACGCTGAGGGCCAAGCGGCTACAAGCGCCGGCGGGAACCATGGATCGTCCGTCCGGGGAACAGACGGCAGCCGCAGCTCGGTGGTGGGTCGATGTGTGACTGTTTTCCAAGCGAGGCGGGCTGAGCGCCCCCTGCGGCCGGGAGCCCGCCCAAGAGCCCCGGCCTCCGTCCGCCAGAGACTCCCCCTGCCTGGCTGAGGGGAGGAGTAACCAGCGCCTGGCGGCCTCCCCAGTTCAGCGCCCCCTTCTCCTCCCATTGTGGCGGCAGCCCACGCACCTCCCGCCTGTAGCCTGAGGCGCCGCGGGCGGCACCAGAAGCCCTGCCCCGACCCCTTGGTCACCGGGTGCCTAGGTTCATTCCCCCTCTGCCACAGATCCCTCCGTGCCTTGGGACCTTCGCCAAGGCGAGCCTCCCCCTCAAGGAAGCCGGGAGATCCAGGGTGTAACTTTAGCTGTGGATTGAGGCAAAGTATAGAACTGGCCCCTTTGAGCTGGAGGCTGCACACTGGCAGCGTTTAAGACATGAGGAGAGCGGGATCGTAACACTCCCCTCCGTCAAAGGGCTACATTCCCAGAATGGTATAGGAGGGACCTCAAAGAGCTAGCTCTTCCCAGCCCCAGAATTCAAAGGATTTAGCTGTAGGGGTTCTAGTGTGGACACTTTTCTTTTTAGTTTCCCCTGGTGCCGCAATTACTAGGGTGGTTTTATTATTTATCATGGAGTTTAGTATAGGAATCAAGTAAACAGGGGTCAATCCTTCAAATAATAAATATTTGCAGACTAAGTTCACATAGGTGCTGCTAGATTGAATATGGGTGAAGTAAAGCTTTGCTAAAAACAGACCTAGCCTTGGAAAACAAAGACTTTGCCCCCTTGTGGAAATAAGTAGGTAATAGCAGCAAGTTTGTGCATAACGGGACTAAGGTGGGTTTGAAAGTCACCATTAGACTTCTGGCATAACTGATTCTGTGACAATTTAATAGCTTTAGCCGAGCTCAGCCTCTGCAAAATGAGGAGTACTTTGTTACCTTAGAGGGTCTTTATAATGACGAATTGAGGCTTGTAAGATTCTCCCACATTATAGAGAGTGCTATTTAAGAATTTAGATCATTCAAAACACAATTTGATCCAATAGCTCAATGGAAGTCTGTGTGATTTGTTTCAAGGGGATTTTTAAGTTTAACTGCCTGCTGCTGTGTGTAAACTAATGGCAGTTGTGCAACTTGTACATGAGACACCCATATGAAAATGACTAGAGACAGATGAGAAACAGTAGAACTTCTTTGTCTACTGAAAGAAATGCAGAAAACAAAAATGACCACTATAAACACTCTCAACATGAACTAATCCTCATCGCTGCTGGATTATATGGATAATTATTTTGATGGGGAAATTAAGGTAGAAAACGTAAGTGAGTGGGTCAGGACTATAGATGGAGGCATTGTCAGAACCAGTGTTTGAGTGAAGGAGTTCTAGGCTTGCTGCCTTGTTGAGAGAGTGCATGCACACACACACTGTGTTTTATTCATTTAAATCCATGCAAACGTTTCATTTTGAAAAGTATTATTTCATCTAAGCTGTCATTTTAAAGGTAAATGTGTTAACTAGAGTCACTCACTTCTTCATCTTGACCAAACAAGATTAGTTAATTGTCACCCCCCCCCCCGCAGTCTTCTGGGTTGTGTAGAAAGTTACTGTTCACAAGAAAGCAATGGAGGGAGAACATATCTTTCTCGGACCCCCAACACTGTATAAAAGTGGTCAGGTTTACATTGTGTTTGTAAATCACTAATTTACAGAAACTATCAAATGCTAGTATAAATTTAGGGATTACCATGGTAATACAAGGTTTCAAGTTACCTTCTGTCCATTTACTCTTATTTGTGAGGGCAAATATTAATATAAACTCAACAAACATTTATTAGCAAGTAACACTGTATGAAGAGATTTACATAGGGGTGAGCTATTTACACAGCTAAGTTGTGGTTTGGAAAATATTTAGCTCGAATATATCTGTGATAAATAGAATCTTATCACATTTCCAATAGTGCCAATCCTCAGCATCCAAAGATCAGCAGATCCTCAAACAAACAAACAAACCACCACAAAACAGACTTAAAATAAAGATTTTAATTGCATGTAAGGTTTTTATTAGGGCTATTGATTAGAATCATAGAATATCAGGGTTGGAAGGGACCCCAGGAGGTCATCTAGTCCAAGCCCCTGCTCAAAGCAGGACCAATTTCCAACTAAATCATCCCAGCCAGGGCTTTGTCAAGCTGACCTTAAAAACCTCTAAGGAAGGAGATTACACCACCTCCCTAGGTAACCCATTTCAGTGCTCACTTTATAATTATTTATATTACAAATATTTGCATGGTGAAAAACAAATAGTATTTTTCAATTCACCTCATACAGTTACTGTAGTGCAATCTCTATTGTGAAAATGCAATTTACAACTGTAGATTTTTTTTATTATATAACTGCACTCGAAAACAAAACAATGTAGGCTCTAAAGTTTTACAAGTCCACTCAGCCCTACTTCTGGTTTAGCCAATCACTAAGTTTGTTTACATGTGCAGGAGGTAATGCTGCCCACTTCTTATTTACAATGTCACCAGAAAGTGAGAATAGGCATTCTCATGGCACTTTTGTAACTATCATTGCAAGGTATTTACATGCCAGATATGCTAAACATTTGTATGCCCCTTCATGCTTTGGCCACTATTTTGGACGACATGCTTCCATACTGATGACGCTTGTAATAAATAAATAAATAAATGTGTTAATTAAAATTTGTGACTGAGCTCCTTGGGGGAGAATTGTACATCTCCTGCTCTCTTTTACCCACATTCTGCCATACATTTCATGTTATAGCAGTCTCCGATGATGACCCAGCATGTTGTTCATTTTAAGAACACTTTCACTGTAGTTTTGACAAAACGCAAAGAAGGTACCAATGTGAGATTTCTAAAGATAGTTACAGCACTTGACCTGAGGTTTAAGAATCTGAAGTGCCTTCCAGAAAGCTGAGAGGGACGAGGTGTGGAGCATGCTTTCATGAAATCTTAAAAGAGCAACACTCCAATGCAGAAACTACAGAAACTGAACCACCAAAAAAGAAATTCCCGCAGCTCCTATTGGCCGGGAAAGGCAAACTGGGAGCTGCGAGCAGCCGTACCTGCAGACGCTCAGGTAAATAGTGTCTTACGGCCTGCCAGGGGCTTACCCTGAACAAGCTGCGAACCAAGTTTGGGAACCCATGTGCTATTGGTATCTGCACTGCCTGCTTCTATTTGGCAGGTGGGTCCAACAGTTCTATTGGTGTTCTTTACAGCTGCAAAGATTTTCATGCAATGATTTGCTTATTTTAGTATTTTGCAAATGTATATTGATTTTATCAAACAAATGCCTTTTTTGTAGATTCATTTCAGTAAGTAGGTTCCATAATACTGAATGGGCATTAATTGCTTTGTTTCTACAAAGATACATGTGTACCATTTACCAGGTTGCAGTGACTTTGGTGTAGGGCGATGTTGTTTCTAGACAGATTTTTGAAGAGTTACAGTTGTTGCAAACCTTGAAGATGAAGTGGGCAGAGAGGGCGCTTCCCCTCCACCAGCCCAGCCTGTTTCCCTTCCTTTTTTTACCCTTGTCTCTAGGAGAGAAAAGTATGGCAGCAGCTTTAAATGCTTTTTTCTTTTTCTTTTTGTAGTTGTATTTCTAAAAAAGAAAGATCTTTATTCCCTGTCTGAACCTCACTGTAGTTTTGTGGTTTGAGAAGTTTCAGTTCCTGCTGCCCTTTTCCTGAACTCTCAGGTCCCTAGCCATCTGTGCAGAAGGCAACACTGATGCAATGTCAACTATTGCTCTATTTATGCCCTGCCCTAGTGGAGCAGGGAAGATAACTGAGTTACTTAAGATACAGACTTCCTTTACTGAGGATATTGTAGTTTACATTGCTACATAAAAACAGGGAAAGAAGCCCTCAGATTTACAAGTTCTCTTTAAAATGGGGATTTTTGGATGCTGTACTAGGGTGACCAGACAGCAAGTGTGAAAAATCGGGACGGGGGTGGGTGATATTAGGAGCCTATATAAGAAAAAGACCCAAAAATCACGACTGTCCCTATAAAATCAGGACATCTGGTCACCCTATGCTGTACACACAAAGCAGTAAAAAGAACAGGCGTACCTGTGGCACC